CAATGTTAGAAAAATTCATTAACTACACATGAAGAGGTGAATGTTTTCTATGGTCTATCACAGAACGACGTCTATACACGCATCAAATTTCTAAACCCTAACCTCGTATATAGAGTTAAGATTATATCTTAATTCAACTGACTTGAAAAAAGGTTGATCTTATATGAAACAATATATTTTCAAAGGTACAACAACATATTTTAATTATACATAAAACAAATAACAGATGGGCTATGGTGGATTTTACATAATTAAATTCTTGTGATGTGGATAAAAAATGCATGCGGCATCCATTTTAAGCAGATACTCTACCATACAAAATCAAATCGTAAAAGTGGAAAGATTGCTATAATCATCATAGAATCCTTCATAGTCTCGTAGACCGAAACATGTAGATATGTATCATTGGTTTAGTTCAAATATCTAATATAATCTTAGTTAGTTACGAGTAATGTCATGATATGATTCATCGTAAAAAGAGTTTGGTAGTAGTGGACAGATCAACATTATATGCTTAGGGAATATCAAAGTGATTTGATTTCTTAATTAACCACTAGATCCTCTCACCAAAAACCTTAAGTGCTGGCTCATATTTAAACCAACTCTTTTATATTAATTGTAATAAGTGTTTTGAGTATATGTGAAGGAAGCACCTGCCATGTGCATATGATGAGAACTATTATTTAATACGTATTTAATCTACTTGCCAAAACTTGCATGCCTTGATTTGGTAATATTGTTTCTTGACTTTTCTTATTTTCCGTTTTAATCCAACACAATAACATTAATAATGCACCTAATAGTAATGGCTTGGTTCAACTTCTAACCAATGCTATTGATAACACCCTTTGGTAAATAATTATTTTTTGGATTGAGTTTACTCCATATTTCTCTAAAGAGATTAAAACCAAAAAGTTAATGATCTTAATAGTTTTTTTTTTTTTTGCTAACCGAATGATCTTAATAGTTTTAGGTCTATATCACGCACTTATCTTTTGTGTTTGGATAATATTAGAAGGAAAGTACGTATAGGTTTCCAAGAGTGGGGTAAGACGTAAGAGTTGTCTAGGTCGCGAAGGAGACTATAGAAGATCCATGATGAGGAGGAAGAGGTGTTAGTTGAACGATCGATGAACGTATTCCTTCTCAAAGATATATATTAGTGCGTGTGTATTTTTGGATGGTTCATTTTAAAACAAGTTTAGGAATGATTCGTCTTTTGCGGGACCAAGTGCATGATCAAGTAATTGGCGAATACATTATTATGGCGAGCAACACTATACCTAAAAAAATCCAAAAAATGATGCCAAAAAATGATTCTAAAAAATGATTAACAATACCAAAAAAAAAATCCAAATATTGATTCTAAAACTCGACTTCTTAATACATTATATGGCGAGCAACACTATATTGTTTTTTGTTTGCTAAACAATAACACTATAGATATTGTTCATATTTTTGTTTTGAATAATTAGTGTACATATTACATATAATGTTTTTTTTTTTTGAAAAAGAGTATTACATATAATTTTGCTCGCCAAAGTAAAAGGGAAAGAAACTTACAGTTGAAATTAATGGCGAGACTAAACAAAGGTTGAAAGGGTGGGTGATAAAGTGGAATCAAGTACCAATAATGAAGTTAAAATTGGATAATTAGACTTATCGTAAAAGAAACCACACTATGAGGTTTTATTTGATTTGAAGTTAATTACTAATAATAATAATATTTCGTATATATTTCAATCAAAATAGAATTTTGCTTCATATGTTTTTGTTCCCCTTCTATTTTCTATTTCACTTGCCAATTGTTTCCCACTACTATTCTTTTTGTTTCTAATGCGTAGGTTTACCCTATATCTAAACAAACC